TCTCTGCTCTTTTTGGCCCTCATGTCCCTCCGTCGTCGGACTAAACTCGCCCCCACTTCCTCGCCGCCTCGGCCCTATCTAGACCCACAGTGTGTAGCACAGACCACGCATCAATATTGAGCATCAATCAAAAATGTCTGTGTCAAGCTTGCTGCAACAAACTGCTGCAGGAGTATAACCAGGAAGCGAGGTAGGAGGGCAAAATAGGTTTAGCGCCACCGCGGCACGGGAGGGAGAATTTCGTCCAGGAGCAAATGGATAACAATAGACCGAGAAAAAAAAAAAACATGAATCGATTATCTTGTGGACGTGTCGATGCATCGGATCGTCGGCTGTTGGATCGATGCATCGATACAAAACGATTATTATTTACACCCCTAGTCTATGGCCGAGAGGCAGGGAACACCCTGGACATCGCAGGCAAATCTAACATTAATATGCAAAAAAGAAACACAACTGGGTGTGAAAGTTCCTTCAGCTGTACCACTGCATGAGACGTTTTTAATGACTGTTGGTATTTCTTACACCCAGATTCCACATACTCCGTCAGCGCTCCACTCCGCCGGCTCCAGTATGTCGTGCGGAGAACTTGTCTGTCATGTTAATTAATGAGAGCTGTTCCACATCCTCGCTACTCCTCTGTACCTCACCGTCCATGTTCGTCTTCTCCGTCCATCACTGTCAAAATACAGAGCTGAGCTATTTTCTGCTCCGCTCTGGTCCGGCAAGGTCAAGATCCGTAACTGCAATCGCACCAAACAGGAAAAAAAACGTTGAGAAGATCCGGTTTGTCAAATTAAAATATGACAACGATAGATTGATAAAACAAATACAAATAAACAGATAAAACAGATACAAATTAGAGCATAATTTTAATAAATTCCCAAAAACTGATTTGATGAAGGGATTTGATGCAAAATACTGGTACTTCAACATACCAAGAAGCAGATTTCTTATCTCGATCAAAAAATGTATTTTATACTGAGAGGCCTAAAAGTTTAATGAAATTCATTCAAAACGCTGAATAGTGCATCTCACAACTTCGAAATAAACATCTTTCTGAATGAAGAGAGGCTGAGTTTGGAATTAAAGAACAAACATAGTTCATACAAACCAATTTCATATGCTCCTAGTTATCCCTGTTGCAAAAATCCACAACAAAAAGAAAATATTTGGGCAGAAACTACACGTATACTGGATGCTGTTGTGGATTTTTAAAATGTTTCATATTAAAATAAGCATTCTTTTCCGCATGTTTTGCCCCCGTGAATTTAATAATAATATAGGGCATGCTCTCCTCGAGCTCTGAACTATATTGCAATGAACATGTGCAATTAACAGATTTGCTAAAGTCATAAGAACCCCCCAAAAATGAGCTATTTTTCATTCACTCCGAAACTAACAAAGAAAATCACTTGTTTTTGGTCTCTAGGCCCAACCGGATGACTACTCAGGGACACGGATCAGCCCAAAGCACTCCATCTCCTTCCATAAGCACTGGAATATAGATCCTCTGGCTGTCTACAGAAACTGGCTGCAGGACCTGGAGCTGAGAGATGAACTGTGATAAAAAATCTTTTTGAGAATATTGGTCAAGAGCGCCTATTGTGTCTGGAAATTATGCTCAAGATAATTCATGTTTGTCGTT